ATCCTTTATAGATGGATCGAAGGATAGTGGCGCAGTTGCTTGTGCCACCGTCATTCGATCCAGAACAATATGTTCTCGATTGCGTGACAACAGCTCTATTTTCACAGCAGAAGCAAACGCCATATTAACAGCCTTAAAGTATATTAATAAACATCCTAAATACAAGCAATACATAAACTTTTTCGACTCTCTTTCTTGCCTTCAGAATATTAAAAATCTTTCTTGTGAACATCCACTTTTAATAGAAATTATTGAACTATATCATGATCTTGCTACTGGCCAACACGACATCGTCTTTTGTTGCTTACCCAGCAATACTGAGAACACAATGGCCAATCTTGCTGCTAAGGCAGCACTCAACACATCTGTGACACCACTTCTTATTCCATACTCGGATTACAAAGCTAGCATTAGAACCTACGTCCGTGATCTGATGCAGGAGAAGTGGGACAACCAAGTAGGTGTAAATATCAATAAATTACATGAAACAATACCCTACATTGGTTACACCTACTTGGAGTGTCAGTCCAGATTTGAGGAGGTCATTATATAACGATGTCGCATTGGTCATTCAAGATAGACACACGGATATCTATTGAAAGGCGAAGATCCTCCGTTTTGCATCCCTTGTGGTGAAAGAATAGTGTCCTGCATGACTGTATTGATTTTTCCATCACAAGGGATAAGTATTTCAATGTAAAAACTGTCAAGGATAGTTTTACTAAAGTTAATTTTCAATTAGTCATTGAATCTTTAAAATAAATAGAATTATTAGATAAATTTTGATGAATGGTTTGTGTAAATAGATACATATTTTATCATTGGTAGTTAAGATTAGTAACTGGGATTGTGAGTGGCTGTATCCTCAAAAGGGGGTTGAAGTATTGTAAAGTTAGGAGAGGGTACGTAAGTCCCAATACATTCATGGTAAATTTAAACCTACTACTAATTTTAATCCTATTATATAGGTTATATCAATGTATGGCTAGATCTATCTAAATTGCTAACAGCTGAAGGGATGATGTAAATCCAGCTAGGGTCCATGCAGGTAGCAAAGGTATTGTAAGTCCCCACGTTCCCTGGCATGGTGATCTACCTTCAGTTGATGGCAATGTATAACCTGTTTTATATGGTATTGTCATCTATAATTAAAATGGTTTTGTGTTAATTACTAGTTTTAAATTGAAATCTGTGATAAACTAGTTGTTTTGCTGTCCTTTGCTGACAGGTTTTATACAGGCTGGTTGCGTTTGCCCAAATGTTGTTTTTTTGGGGGGGGTGTTTTGGTTTTTTTAATTGCATGCTACTTGTTTTTTAAATCAGAGTAGACATTTCGGGATTTTTTTAAACATAATTTTGTAAAATGTATTCTCCTACAATAGTATTTGTAAAAATCTGTAACATTATACACGTCATACTTCTGGACTTATTAAGCATCAATTTACTTTCTATTCTTAGCTTTTGTAACACATATCAACACAGTCAAGCAGGACATGCTTGACTACGATTCTTTTATCACAATGGATGCAAAATGGAGGATCTTCGCCTTTTAACAAATACTCACTACTAGTACAAATAATACTAGTCTGTATGGCCAGTGCGACATCGTCACATAATGACCTCCTCAAATCTGGACTGACAGCCCAAGAAGGTGCACCCGATATAGGGTTTTATTGCATGCACTCTATTGATAACTTGGTGTCCCACTTCTTCTGCATGAGTGAGTAAGTGAGTTATATTTAATAGTCGTATCGGTAATATTTCAGCCATATCGTGACTGAGACAGGTAAACACGTCAACACTAGATAATATCAGATTATATAATCTGTCAACGAGGGGCAGTAAAATCACAAGAAAATCACAGATTTAGATATATAACTAGTATGTAAATCTAAAACAATTTTAACTATAGAAGACGATGCATTATACAAAAATAAACAAAACAACAAAAACAAAAACAGTCTACAGGTCGCCAACAACTGAAGGTTGAGCACCATTCTAGGGACCATGGGGACTTACAGTGCCTTTCCCACTTTTATGTATCTATATCATCCCTTCAGCCGCTGGCAGCTGTAGGCACATTTAGGCATAATTTCAAATAACAAAAATATTACGTTATAAACATCAAGTAAGATTAAATTTCCTTTGAATGTTTCGGGACATACGTACCCAACCAGGAGGACAATAGTTGTACGATACTTTAACCTTCTTTGAGGACACAGGCACTAAATATATAACAATCTCAGTTACTAATTTCAATTTCAATAATAAAAAAATACATCTATCTACAATACATAACAATCAAAATGTTCATTAAGTTCTATTTCTTCTTAAAAAATTGATAATTAAATGATAATTTACATTACTAAAGATATTTTTTACTGTTTTTGCACTAAAATATTTAGCCCTTAATCGATACAGCCAATCAGTTTGTATTTGCACTTTAAGAAACACATGATATAGAAACATTGACATTTTTTTCTAGATGTTCCTTGCTAGAATAGGTTAATAGAGATATAAATGTATGAATATTATGATGCACAAAGTCATATTTCTCAGTATACTCATTTCTCAAAGTGTGGTAGGCTTTACAGGCACAATGATATTCATCGCCAATTAGATTCAAATCACACATTTTACATATTCTATCTTATCTCTGTATTCCAATATAGCTACCTGTTTCTACTAACAAATCATGGGATGAGCAACGGATGTTTGTAAGCGTTATTCTATATTTCAGAACATTCAAAGATGGTAAATAGGTCCCATTGTATATAGATTGTTTTAAACATTCTGTAATAAAACATATACTTGATACAGATCATTGGTCAAGCCAATTCTGGAGACATATATCTTTGAACCTTTGTTTAATGGAAATGAGAAAATTTGGATGCGAATCGATGCACTGTTCTGGCCATATATAACCGAAACCAGTTGAAAATAGTAAATGCTCAACATCTGTGACCCAATTACGTTTTCCATTTCTATCGTACAAATTGCTTGACCATGATTCTGTCATCACAAGGGATGACAAATGGAGGATCCTTACCTGTTATCAAATACTCATGTGTGTATGGCCAATATGACGTAAAATGACCCCTCAAATCAGGACTAACATAAGGTTTTATTTCATGTAATTTATTAATACCTACGTTGGTGTTTATTTGCATCAGATCTAAGATGAAAGATCTAATCACAGCTTTATAATCTGAGTATGGTATAAGAAGTGGTGTCACCATCCTGTTACCATTGATTCCAACAAAGACGATGTCGTATTGGCCAGTTGCAAGGTCATTATATAATTCAACAATGTCATTTAAAAAAGTGGATGTTTACTAGATAGATTTTTGATAGACTTAGGGCATGATAGGGATTCTGAGAATATTACGTATTGTTTATGTTTAGGGTGTCTTATGTATATTTAAGGGCTGCTAAGATGGCGTTTGCTTCTGCTGTAAAATAGATCTGTTATCCGGTGTTCTAGAAGATTTTGAGGATCCACTGACAGTGGCAGAGGCCATCCTTTCATCATCTTTCATCATCTGTTAATAAGGATTATGTAGGCAATATAATTTACTTTATAATTGGTTAAATTGTTGTAATTCATTTGTTTCTGATTTCTAGTAAGTTGTAAGTTTAAGCTCTGCTCGTGGCCTCACCAATTACCGAAGAGGAGGAGAAAACAAGATGGATGCTTAATGCCAGCAGCCGACGGGAAAGGTTTCACCTGTATTCCAAAAGGCGGAATACGTCAAGATAATACAGACCCTCTGGAGCGGATTAGCGATCTATATAAGTGTAGGAGGGTAGTTTGGTACCCTTCCCACTTAGAATTTGAAACGACTTTTAACTGATTAAGTGCCTTCAGTCATTTAGCTTTAAGGGATTTGATATGTGGCAGAAAAGTTAAATGTGAGTCGAAAATAAGATCCGAGAACTTGGCCTCCTTTACAACGTTGATTTGGGTGCCGTTTAAACATAATTATGGTTATTCATGCGGTTCATATTTTCTGCAAAAATGTATACAATTAGTTTTTGTTTGAGAAAATTTAAACCCCTTTGCAAGTGACCATTTTAAATTTTTTATTGAGACAGGCTTCTCACTGCCTCTCTAGCACCCGTGAAGAGCAACCTCCTCGTGGTGGGTGCTGGATAACGCTAATACATCTTCCCCCGTACAGACCCGGGGTAGAATAGACCATGGCACCCCATTGCTGGTCGTAAAAGGTGACCAAATTGGGCATACCCTTGGCCTTTGCTTCCATGTGTCGGCTGAGGAAGGGAATCTGGTGGTTGAGGATGACAGATGTCTTCTTTAATGTAGCTATATAGATACTATATGTGTTGTGGATGGGAGCGTGTGTATGCATCTGCCATTTTGTTTTTATGACGTCGTGTGTGACCTTTTTGTGACCTAATCGATTTTGACAGTGAGTTTTCAACCCTTAAGCCCACCTCCATTTGGAATGAGTCTCCTTCCGGCCGGTGTGTGTGTGTGTCTGTGTGTGTGACCTTTAGGTTGACATTAGTGGTTTGTGATAGTTATTCAATTATATCATGAGTGGTATGAGTTTGATTTGGTGACTCGAGTGTTGGATTCACATGGCAAAATCTTGCATTGTATTATATAGAATTAATATTACATTATGAATATTAGATGAATTTATATGCTATTTATTAGGTCAAAAGCCAGTCTTGTTCGAAATATCAGAGCGCAGTTTGTCAAATCAAAGCGCGAGGTATCACCAGGTAATTTAAAATAGATTTCTTTCTTAAGAACTCGCGAATTGGTACAAGGAACAACTCAGAAGTTCTGGGTATGTATTTCCATATCTGTGAACAATAAACAATTGTTGCTGTTAGCAAATAAAATCCAGTCGCTATGTGGGCCCGTATATGATTATTGCGTGCGATAGTGGGGCGCAGCCTATATACATGGTGCAATGCACTAATGAAGAATCACTTGCTCGTTGAGTTCGATATAAAAACCAAGACGAAAATGCAATACACTATTTATTCACAAAACCAATTAAAGACAATATTTACAACAATGAAACAGCCATCTGCTCTGAAGAAACCAATCGGCACGGAGCTATATGTCCGAATACCGGTTTAAAAGGAAAACACCCCCATCCTCTACATCATACAGAGTTGTTTGATCGAGGGACAGCAGGGATACCTGTACCATTAGTCTACACCCCCATCCTCTACATCATACAGAGTTGTTTGATCGAGGGACAGCAGGGATACCTGTACCATTAGTCAAAACTACCAACCCCGTTTGCATGAAAACATTACCGCAGTACAATCATTCATTGCTTGTGGTAAGAGGCGTCTACCGGTAACGGTTGGTATCGCTGACACATGTCATTGTATCTCATTAATTTTGCGTTAATCGATGTTCATCACGTTGATTACTGAGTTGTCTGGTCCAGACAGTTCGAATGTTCTCGATTGCTGCGTTAAACAAACAAACAAAGCTTCAACTGACACGTTCTCGCTCACAGCGGTGTCTGCACTTTCCAGGTCACTTGATGAATTCTACTTATGTACCGACCTCAACTCCTCATAGCCAGAACAGCTGGCAGAGGCAGGTTGTCCCTCACAGCCAGAACAGCTGGCAGAGGCAGGTTGTCCCTCACAGCCAGAACAGCTGGCAGAAGCAGGTTGTCCCTCACAGGTGAGCCCGTCGTACATCTTTGCTTCATCAACGACATCGTACTGAGCAGCATCTCCTGCCCCTGGGGACACGTCCATGTCCTGGGTGGGAGTGACGTACAGCTGGAACCTGCAAATGTTTGAAAGGTGTTGTGTAGAAATTCACGGATGACATATCGACGCACATACGTTGTTATCTCTCTCTTTGTATTCTTTGAAAGCTGCGATCGATAGGCTTGTTTAGACTACATATGTGATCAGGAATGAATGTTTATTGGTTACCACTGAAGATAAATAACGGGAAACACGTAGAGATGGATAGCGTATCATCTTGCCTTAACGACAAGTTGTGTTAAGTTGTGTCCAAACGGGAATGAGATTATAATTATGTGTATGTGTATAATTAAGCGTGATACCACAGCGTCACGATACTCGGTGAGTCGAAACATAATTTGGCAATTATGTCGACGTTTCAGCAGAAGAATCAACTTACAAACCGACCTCCTTGTGAACACCAGCCACTAACGACCCCACGTTAAATTGAAGAAGTGTATCTGCGAGAATAGGAAACAGTTTGACGACTTGCAAGACGCCCAAATGTTGTAGGGGTGGGGTGGGATTTTACGTCTATGGCATGTGTGCAAGACGCCCAAGTGTTCAGGGGATGGGGTGGGATTTTACGTCTATGGCATGTGTGCAAGACGCCCAAATGTTCTGGGGGTGGGGTGGGAATTTACGTCTATGGCATCTGTGCAAGACGCCCTAGTGTTCAGGAGGCTGACTGGGACAGCAAGGCCGTCAATTATTGTGATTGAGAGGAACTTGAATGCTGTCAGGTACCGAGACGAGATATTGTATATGGCAGCTTTATTGTTCTTTACAACAGAACGTCCTGGAGTGACGTTTCACAACTTGAAAGGCTTGAAAATCACGAACCGATTTAAAACCTTTAATATGACGTAGGTGTAGAAGCGGCCATGGTGTGTCCATCACGTGAGCCACGAACCTGCCAAAATATTTTGTGTGCTGTAGTTGTGACACGTGGTCGACTGGATCTGGATAGGTCACGTGTTGACCCCTGCATCAGATAAGGGCTACTTAGTCTTGTAATGGTGTTTGGGGATGCGTGGAAACATCTGACCCCTTCATCTGATAAGGATTCCATGGTATTGTGATGGTGTTTGGCGATACGTGGAAACATCTGACCCCTGCATCTGGTAAGGATTCCATAGTCTTGTGATGGTGTTTGGGGATGTGTGGAAACATCTGACCCCTGCATCTGTTAAGGATTCCATAGTATTGTGATGGTGTTTGGCGATACGTGGAAACATCTGACCCCTGCATCTGATAAGGATTCCATAGTCTTGTGATGGTGTTTGGGGATGTGTGGAAACATCTGACCCCTCCATCTGATAAGGATTCCATAGTATTGTGATGGTGTTTGGCGATACGTGGAAACATCTGACCCCTGCATCTGGTAAGGATTCCATAGTCGTGTGATGGTGTTTAGGGATACGTGGAAACATCTGACCACGTCCGAAGCCATGTAACCTGTCTCCAGTGTAACCTGTCTCCAGTGTAACCTGTCTCCAGTGTAGCCTGTCTCCAGTGTAACCTGACTCCAGTGTAACCTGACTCCAGTGTAACCTGTCTCCAGTGTAGCCTGTCTCCAGTGTAGCCTGTCTCCAGTGTAGCCTGTCTCCTGTGTAACCTGTCTCCAGTGTAACCTGTCTCCATTGTAACCTGTCTCCATTGTAACCTGTCCCCAGTGTAGCCTGTCTCCAGTGTAAGCTATCTCCAGTGTAGCCTGTCTCCAGTGTAACCTGTCTCCAGTGTAGCCTGTCTCCAGTGTAGCCTGTCTCCAGTGTAACCTGTCTCCATTGTAACCTGTCTCCAGTGTAGCCTGTCTCCAGTGTAACCTGTCTCCAGTCTAGCCTGTCTCCAGTCTAGCCTGTCTCCAGTGTAACCTGTCTCCAGTGTAGCCACACCTGTCTCCATTGTAACCTGTCTCCAGTGTAGCCTGTCTCCAGTGTAGCCTGTCTCCAGTGTAACCTGTCTCCAGTGTAGCCTGTCTCCAGTGTAACCTGTCTCCAGTCTAGCCTGTCTCCAGTCTAGCCTGTCTCCAGTGTAACCTGTCTCCAGTGTAGCCTGTCTCCAGTCTCGCCTGCCTCCAGTGTAGCCTGTCTCCAGTGTAGCCTGTCTCCAGTGTAACCTGTCTCCAGTGTAGCCTGTCTCCAGTGTAGCCTGTCTCCAGTGTAGCCTGTCTCCAGTCTAGCCTGTCTCCAGTGTAGCCTGTCTCCAGTGTAACCTGTCTCCAGTGTAGCCTGTCTCCAGTGTAACCTGTCTCCAGTGTAGCCTGTCTCCAGTGTAACCTGTCCAGTGTAGCCTGTCTCCAGTGTAGCCTGTCTCCAGTCTAACCTGTCTCCAGTGTAACCTGTCTCCAGTCCGCAGATGGTGTCATTGTCTTCAGTTTCAGTCGATTTTTCACTTCTCATTTGCGATACAATTGTGAGGACAGATAAAACCATTTATTTCCATAGCCCAACAATTCATGTTGCACATTCAACTAGTGATGAATTCAGTAAACTCTGCTTCTCGTAGGTGGCGACATAAGAGGCGACTAACGGGATCAGAAGGTCAGACTCGCTGACTTGGTTGGTTTCTTCGTTTTAGCCTGTCAATGGTTTGAGGACATATTATATTTTACCCTCACAAATCACTCCCGGTGTATGTAGACGTGTGACATTCATATTCCTTATTCATTTTGTATGAAAATCAGCAAAACTCTGTCAAGCAAGTCCAATGTGTCTACTTGTGTCATGCATTTATCAAACCTATGGTCCATTCAAGTTGTGTCTTGCAATAATGACAAGAGATAAGGAAATAGTAACATCACTTCAACGTGAATCAAAACCGGAATATAATAATGCACTGAATCTTCCGTGTACTGCAGCAGTTAGCCCAGCGACATCAGGTTTGTCTGTCAGCTGTTTGAGCTGGGCTATGTAAACCAGAGGTTAATACCACGAACTACATACCACCCCGTCAATACAAACAGAGACACATTCATCCCTTGAACACTGACCACCCCAGTGAGGTGGGAATTGGGTTTAACGTCGTGCTTGAGAATATTTCGCTCATATGACGACGTGCATCCGTGTGGATGTGTGTGTGTGCAGCTGCTTGTACTAGCCCAGACTGAAGCTGGTTTTATAGTTCAGCCCAATGAGATACTATGCCGCAGTGAAGCATGAATACCCCACTCAGACACATTATACTGACTCCGAGCCGAACAGTCCTTGCTGTACCCATTAATGCCGAGCGACAGGCAGGGACCATATTTTGACGTCTTTTGGTATGACGCGGTCGGGGATCGAACCCGCGACCTTCCACTCTCCGAGCTCACGCTCTAAGCACTACACCACGAAGGCTGGCCACCCCAGTAATTACACAGTGAACTCTTCTAACAAGCACGCGGTACTGTCAATCACAGAATATCGTGGTTCGTTCATTCCCTCACTCACCTTTCTGATCTCAAACGTTGACAGTAACTGCAGCACGCAGCCAGAGTGGCCATTACCATGAAAAGGAGAGAGGCTACAGCTAGTCCTGTAGATAGTGCTGTAGCCAGTTCCACGGTGATACCTACCCAACAACGGGGTTAACGAGTTAATACAATAAAGGAGAGAGTCTACAGCTAGTCCTGTAGATAGTGCTGTAGCCAGTTCCACGCTGATACCTACCCAACAACGGGGTTAACGAGTTAATACAATAAAGGAGAGAGGCTACAGCTAGTCCTGTAGATAGTGCTGTAGCCGGTTCCTCGTTGAAACCTACCAAACAACGGGGTTAACGAGATAATACAATAAAGGAGAGAGGATGTAGCTAGTCCTGTAGATAGTGCTGTAGCCGGTTACACGTTGAAACCTACCAAACAACGGGGTTAACGAGATAATACAATAAAGGAGAGAGTCTACAGCTAGTCCTGTAGATAGTGATGTAGCCAGTTCCACGTTGATACCTACCAAACAACGGGGTTAACGAGTCAATACAATAAAGGAGAGAGGCTACAGCTAGTCCTGTAGATAGTGCTGTAGCCAGTTCCACGCTGATACCTACCCAACAACGGGGTTAACGAGTTAATACAATAAAGGAGAGAGGCTACAGCTAGTCCTGTTGATAGTGCTATAGCCAGTTCCACGTTGATACCTACCAAACAACGAGGTTAACGAGTTAATAATAATAATAATAATAATGTGTCCATTTATATAGCGCCAAACTCCACACCAGGTATGCTCATAGCGCTAACAATCAATAAGGCATTATTGAAGTCCATAGAACGTTTTGTAAAGAAAGGTTTTGAGATGGCACTTAAAGTTTTCAAGGGTTGGAGACAGCTTACGTTCATCAGGGAGGGAATTCCATTTGACTGATGCCATGTTCTGGTAAGACTTGCAGCCAAATAATTTTAGGTTCCACTTTGGTACATAGAGCATATTAGCCGAGGATGGACGCAGTGTTCTTGTTGGCATGTAAGGAGAGAGGAGTTCTTGAAGATACACTGGTGCAATACCATGAATGGACTGATAAGCAAGTGTAAGGATCTTATAGTCAATGCGTTTGGTTGGAGAGTAACTATGTGGGCAGCTGTGTTCTGGATTTGTTGGAGCTTTTGGATGGACTCTTGTGAGTTAATACAATAAAGGAGAGAGGCTGTAGCTAGTCCTGTAGATAGTGCTGTAGCCAGTTCCACGTTGATACCTACCAAACAACGGGGTTAACGAGTTAATACAATAAAGGAGAGAGTCTACAGCTAGTCCTGTAGATAGTGCTATAGCCAGTTCCACGTTGATACCTACCCAACAACGGGGTTAACGAGTTAATACAATAACGGAGAGGCTACAGCTAGCCCTGTAGATAGTGCTATAGCCATGTTGATACCTACCACACAACGGGGTTAAGTTGTTAAAACAATAAAGGAAACAGGCTACAGCTAGTCCTGTTAATGCATGAGCGGCGACTGGTAGCACAAAATAAAAGCCATCTTGCACAACCCAGACTATGACCTATGTACATCCCTACTTTACCACACTTATTGTATACGGACACTTCATTGAGGGAGGAGAGTCATCCATTATCAACTCCTTGAGGAGTATACAGTAATAGTACTACCTAGTCAAAGGACTAACAGCTACCAGTTACAGTCATTCCCGTAGTGAATACCAATTGATATAACTGTATTAACATTACATACAGCCATAGAATAATACCTACCTGATTTCTCATCACATGTCCCTGTCGACCTGTTGCATGACGTACATCCACTTGAACATGTCTTACAGCCAGTCCCGTAGTAGGAGTCTACACATCCAGACATACAGGATGAGCCCAGCTGACAATATGCTCCATCACAACCACCTGGACATGCTGTACAGCTACCTCCTGGACTGTCACATGGTATGTTGCACAGAGAACCTTGATATCCTGGCTCACAACCCTCGGTGCACCGTCCACTACCGTCGGCAGATTGATTACACAGGTTACCATTACAGTGACCATCGCACACAGAGAAACATTTCAGATCAAAGTACCCCGTGTCACACTCAGTGAGGCAATGTTCCGTCGTGTTGTCACAGTCTGAACAGTGCTGGTCGTTCATACATGGACCAGCTGAAATGAAGGCTATAGGTATTGATAAGATGATAACTGAATAGGATTTAATATGTGTAAATAGCGTTGGTAGTTCTAAGCCTGATCCTTTCTAAAAGTTATTGTAGTGGTCGATATGCTTTTGAGCAACACAACTGACAAACTCTAAGTTATTGAAACAAGGCCTACTATATCTTACAACTATGTAACGAGACCAGATGAGCAATATTAACGATAGACGTCCTACCTTCAGTATAAAGTACCACGTGTGTTATCCATAGGCAAAGCTTCTTCAGGTCGGCCATTCCGTTGACCTAAACTGACCTGAAAGGACAATTTGTGACAAGGAACATGACCTATCAGCGCAAACAAGGAAACAACAACCATTGAATGTAAAACATAAACATCCAAGAGATATGCTGAAAACATTAGCATCCAAGAGATATGCTGAAAACATTAACCTCCAAGAGATATGCTGAAAACATAAACGTCCAAGAGATATGCTGAAAACATTAACCTCCAAGAGATATGCTGAAAACATAAACGTCCAAGAGATATGCTGAAAACATAAACCTCCAAGAGATATGCTGATAACATTAACCTCCAAGAGATATGCTGAAAACATAAACGTCCAAGAGATTTGCTGAAAACATTAACCTCCAAGAGATATGCTGAAAACGTTAACCTCCAAGAGATATGCTGAAAACGTTAACCTTCAAGAGATATGCTGAAAACATTAACATCCAAGAGATATGCTGAAAACGTTAACCTTCAAGAGATATGCTGAAAACATGAACGTCCAAGAGATATGCTGAAAACGTTAACCTTCAAGAGATATGCTGAAAACGTTAACCTCCAAGAGATATGCTGAAAACGTTAACCTTCAAGAGATATGCTGAAAACATTAACATCCAAGAGATATGCTGAAAACGTTAACCTTCAAGAGATATGCTGAAAACACTAACCTCCAAGAGATATGCTGAAAACATAAACGTCCAAGAGATATGCTGAAAACATGAACGTCCAAGAGATATGCTGAAAACATTAACCTCCAAGAGATATGCTGAAAACATTAACCTCCAAGAGATATTCTGAAAACATTAACGTCCAAGAGATATGCTGAAAACATTAACCTCCAAGAGATATGCTGAAAACGTAAACGTCCAAGAGATATGCTGAAAACATTAACGTCCAAGAGATATGCTGAAAACATTAACGTCCAAGAGATATGCTGAAAACATAAACGTACAAGAGATATGCTGAAAACATTAACCTAAAAGAGATATGCTGAAAACGTTAACGTCCAAGAGATATGCCGAAAACATTAACGTACAAGAGATATGCTGAAAACGTTAACGTCCAAGAGATATGCTGAAAACATTAACGTCCAAGAGATATGCTGAAAACATTAACGTCCAAGAGATATGCTGAAAACATAAACGTACAAGAGATATGCCGGAAACGTTAACCTCCAAGAGATATGCTTAAAACATTAACGATATGCTGAAAAAAGATTAATGTCCGATATGCTGAAACGTTAACCTCCAAGAGATATGCTGAAAACATTAACCTCCAAGAGATATGCTGAAAACATTAACCTTCAAGAGATATGCTGAAAACATTAACCTTCAAGAGATATGCTGAAAACATTAACCTTCAAGAGATATGCTGAAAACATTAACCTCCAAGAGATATGCTGAAAACATTAACGTCCAAGAGATATGCTGAAAACATTAACCTCCAAGAGATATGCTGAAAACATAAACGTCCAAGAGATATGCTGAAAACATAAACGTCCAAGAGATATGCTGAAAACATTAACCTCCAAGAGATATGCAGAAAACATAAACGTCCAAGAGAAATGCAGAGGACATAAACGTCCAACGTCCAAGAGATATGCAGAAAACATTAACGTCCAAGAGATATGCAGAAAACACTAACGTCCAAGAGATATGCAGAAAACATTAACGTCCAAGAGATATGCAGAAACACTAACGTCCAAGAGATATGCAGAAAACACTAACGTCCAAGAGATATGCAGAATCTATTTGAGGAATCGAACCCGTGGACGAGGAGCGAACGCTTTAACCGCTGGGCTACCGTACCGCCCCAAAATGGGATGAAACAAGCTCAGATAGGAGTATGTATGTTATGTTGTGTCCGTTTTAAAGTGTGGCATGATATATCTGTAGACTTAGGAATGCATTCGGCACAATGTAGCACACACACTCACGCACGCACGCACACACACACACACATACTTGTGTGTACATACTCGCTACATGTGAGCAACAATGTTGAACACAACGGTAAACTTCAATCACCCTACTACAACGCCACACCATACTTACCTAGTTGTTGGACTTATTTGACCGACCTGTATATAAAACTGACCATCTGCAGGTGACCCTGGAGAAATCTGTGTCTCTGTTGTGTCCGAGGCAACCTTTGTTATACAACAATAGCGTCTGGAGTTGTAAGTATTATTTCCCCCTCTCAGGGATGATGAACATGTAATCACTGTCAAGGAAATATTTCCCAGATTTAATGTTTCAAATATATTGAGAGAGACTGTGTGTGCATATGGGTAAGGAATGCGTTACTCGCAAGATTTATTCTTGGAGACTTTAGAAAGCACTTATGTATAAAATGGAACAAAGTAAACATTGGCTTTGAAGAATGTCCGAACGGAAAGCTATGCCTGTTTCCTGTAAAGTATTGGACATCATATGTTTGTGGGAATAACGACATCACGTTGACACATTGGTCAGACTGTTAGAAAGGATTTGATTTGTTTCGCTTTAGTTTTTATTCCGCTGACCATTCCCACTTTTCAGTTAGAGGTTTCAGTTTTAGTAGATTTTTTTACAAGATGGCAGCCTCCATGTAACCAACTGCTGCCATGTGCTCTGAAATAAAACACTTGCAATAACGAACAGACACTTCTTTTCATGGTCCCGCGAGGCGGATAAGTTGCCAGATGGATGGAAGAACACTGACCCATGTCTTTAGTGATGAATCACTATTTTCCAACATGGATAGACTAACCAACCCAGTCTCCCATGCAGTTACCAATAGCATCACGAAGACAACCCCAATCCGGACATCAACGGTGACAACCTCAACTACAATTGCCCAAGGTTTGATTCAGAGTACTGTGCCTTTACGTCAATCCTCACGAGAGAGACATTTACCTAACCATTTGACAGATTATGTGTTAGATCTCCCAGGTGGCAGAAATATAGAAACGTCCGTTCACTCAGTGGATAAGCCTGATGATTGCAAAACTAAACACTCCGTGAGAACCAGAACTTCAAATGTGTCCAGGCATTCAAATATGTCAAATGTGTCACTTAACTCCAAACTAAGTGATCTCCAGTCAGCAGAGTTAACCAGACAGAGGAGACAACTAGAGTTAGCTGAACTAAAGAGACAGGCTGTGGAAGATGACAAGGTTGATGAAGAAATGAGGCTATTAAATGATAAAGCATATTTGGCTCGTGTGGAAGCAGAGGAGGAAATGCTGAAGGCTCGAAAGAGAGCAGAAGAGATTGAACGTTTGGTGATAAGACAGCGTGAGAAACGAAATACGGAGCTGAGTAGACAACGCAGGATCCGTGAGGCAGAGAATTCCTTAAAGGAAGCAGATCTTTTGGCATCCATGATAGGAATGGGTTTGAATCCTTCAACTGCAGTAACCACTTCCACCACTATTACCTCATCACCACAAGGTCAACATACTGTAATGGCGAATGTTGGAAACCGGGTCAAACAAGACAAAGTTGTTATCAAGACAGAGAAGTCTGACCAAGAGGTGAATCCTTCCACTCTGTTTTCTGTTGAGAATACCATGCCTGTACCATGTGAGAAGAAAACCTGTGTAAAACATGATGAGCCAGCCTTGCCACTGAACATAGCTGCTGAGCCATTCCAAGGTGCTCCAGTTCACCCACCTTCTGGAGGTGCACCCTTTGTACCAGAAACTTCTGGTACACCAAGTTTCCCTCATGGATATGGTCCACCTATGACACCAAACATGACTGAACTTTTGATTTCGTCGTCATATGGGATTCCACGGCCTACACTGCCTTTATTCGATAGTGAGAAGGAAAAAGACTTTGCTATTCTCAAAATGGCCCTGGATAATCTGGTCAATGTCCATACTCATTTAACTGAACAGTATAAGTATCAGTTGTTGCTTGACAGACTGGGTGGAAGAGCTAAACGTTTAGCAGAGGCATATATGTATGCACCACAGCCTTACTCTGAAGCCTTTGAAGCCCTCAAGAACAAGTATGGTCAGCCTCGCCAGTTAGTTCAAGGAGAGCTTGGAGCAATTTTGAGTATGCCTTTCGTAAAGTTTGGAGATAATGAGGCATTTGAGAACTTTGCCCTCGCGGTACATTCCCTGGTTGGGATGTTGAAGTCTCTCGAGGGTGACAGTTATTGCAGAGTTACAGTGTGGTTCTCATGTGGACAGACTGTTAAGTAAGCTACCAATGAGTTTAAGAGACAGTTTCATCGAACATTGTATCAGGACGGGTGTGATAGGGGAGCGCTCAAGTCAAACCTACACACTTTCTCAGTTTAGTCATTGGCTTCAGATTAAATCTCAAGCTAGACGTCTATCCGGTCAAGTCAGCTCATCATATCATAACGATGGCAACCGACCAGACAGTGGTAACAAAGCCTTGAACATTGGTCGATTCAGACGTGTGCAACCACGGAAAAGTGAACCAACAATGATGACCAGTTTCCATACGCGATCTGACTCACGAAACCCAAGTTTCCATGCTCCTACACCCAGTACAAAGGGTAGGGATGAAACAAAGGTGATGACCAGGTTCAGGGCCTACTGCCCTTACTGCTCTTCCTCAGAACACTATTTGAACTCTTGCAAGGAGTTTGAAAAACTCTCATTGGACCAAGTTGTCAGTTGGATGAAAGAGGGGAACCGGTGCTCGAAGTGTGCACGTACTCACAAAACGGTAGACTGTACACTCAGGAAAGTGTGCCACACCTGCCAAGAACTGCATTTGACTGTCCTCCATGATGCAGTTAACATGGTTAAAGCCCAAACTAACATGGTATATTCAGTCATAGCAGAGAAACCAGCGGTTTATGTTGACCAACCCTCCAAACCATGTTCTGTTATGTTGAAAGTTGTGAAGGTTGTCCTCCATGGTCCAGGTGGTCGGATGGAAACATATGCTGTCCTGGATGATGGGTCACAGTGAACTATGATTTTGACAGCAACTGCGGAAAGGCTTAAACTCTGTGGTAGAACAGATGAAATCCTCCTGTCCACAATTAGGCATGAATCTTACCATTGTACAGGGAAGAGTGTCAACCTTTCCATATCACCAGGTGACTCTCCACAGATTCAGTATCCTATATCAAATGCCTTCACATCACCTTCACTCTGCCTCTCAGAATACACCTATCCAGTGAAGGATTTGCAGGTTAGATGGCCACATTTAAGAGATTATCCCCTACCCTCAATCTGTAATGCACAGCCTGTGATTTTGATTGGTTCGGACTATGCAGACCTGATTCTTCCGCAGGAACCTGTGCGCTTTGGGCCCAAGGGAGCACCAGTCGCTGTACATACGCGACTAGGCTGGTCTTTACAAGGCCAAGCAGACATGCACTTATCGCGGATGTCACAGACAGCTGAGCAGTGTTTACTCACTTCCAGTGTTCACCATGATCCAGAACTTTGGAGTAATGTTGAAAAAATGTGGCAGATAGATGCTGTTCCCAATGGAACAAAGGATGTGACCAGGTCAAAGCAGGACAAGCAAGCTTTAGAAACTTTAGAGACGTTCACAGAAAGAGTGGAGATGTATGAAGTAGTACGCTATGCAACACCCCTGCTGAGGATTAGAAATGGAGTTTCACTTAATGCCACAGTAGAATCTGTGACACAGAACCTCATCCGCACAGAAAGGCGACTTCAGTCAAACCCTGAACTAGCTTACGTACACAAGGACGAGATCCAGAAATTGGTAGATGCTGGTTATGTGAATATGATCAGCCCTGAAGAGGCTGAGAAAAGTGATGAATCTTGGTACATTCCACATCACATTGTACAGCACAATGGAAAGAATCGTTTGGTGTTTAATTGCTCGTACAACTATGAAGGCAGAACCCTCAATGAGAACTTACTTCCTGGGCCTCAACTTGGATCATCCTTGATTGGAGTCTTACTGCGTTTCAGACAGCACAGCATAGCTATCTCCGGTGACATAAAGGCCATGTTCCACCAAGTGAGATTACTGCCAAAGAACCGACCCTTACTACGATTCATCTGGCGCAACATGGACCAGACGGTTCCACCAAACATTTATGAATGGCAAGTGCTTCCATTCGGGACTACTTGTAGCCCTTGCTGTGCAATATATGCGCTGCAGACACATGCACATGGTCACAAGGAGGAAAACCCTGATGTGTACAGATCAGTCACCACAGCTTTCTATGTGGACAACTGCTTAGACAGCGTTCCAACTGCAGCAGAAGCCAAAGATTTAGTACATGACATGAGTGCTTTGCTGGATAAAGGTGGCTTCCACCTCAGACAGTGGATCAGCAACATTCCCTCAGTCGTGGCTGATCTACCTACAGAGGACAAGGCAGCCAATTGTGAACGTTGGCTCAGTCTTGGCGAGACAGGACTTACGGAGGGAACCTTGGGACTCCAATGGCGATGTGACAGTGATGTGCTTGGATATAGGATAAAAGAGATTAGCCATGATTGTCTCACCATGAAAGTCATATATCGAATCTTGGCCAGCCAGTATGACCCCTTAGGATATTTAACTCCTTTCACCGCAAGAGCTAAAGTCATCGTCCAAGATCTGTGGAAATTGAAGAGAGATTGGGATGCACCTATTGTGGAGGGAAGTGAATATGAGAAGTGGTGTTCATGGGAAAATGAGCTACCAGACATGGAGAAGGTTAATCTACCACGTTGTTACACACCTCATCATGTCGATACTACAAATTCAGTTCAACAGCTGCATATCTTCTCGGATGCCTCGGAACGTGTGTATGGTGCAGTTGCCTTCCTTCGGACAGTGTATCAGGGAACGGTTTATATCAGCTTTGTACAAGCCAGATCCAGAGTCGCTCCAAAACGACAACTTTCCATACCTCGACTTGAACTATCATCAGCTCTAGTAGGAGCACAACTTGCAGACATGCTGATCAGAGAACTTACCTTACCAATTGAAAGAGTCACCTTGTGGAGTGATTCAACAACAGTGCTGCCTTGGCTGAAATCTGATTCATGCAGATATAAAGTATTTGTTGGAACCAGGGTTGCAGAGATTCAAACTCTAACCAATGTTGCGGACTGGCGGTACGTGAACACAAAAGACAACCCCGCTGATGATCTTACTAGAGGCAAGACCCTGGAGGAGCTTACAAATTCTTCCTCTTGGAAGAATGGTCCATCCTTCCTTCTACGATCACAAGAAGAGTG